ATCTGRATCAGCTATACTTTTGTTCTTCCAGCATTTTGTTTATCTTGGCTGTTATTAAGGCCTCCCATGTGGAAGTCTGCATAGTCTGTTCAGGTAAACTGTGGCACATCCTTTCCTTTACAGTTGTAAAGTTTTCCTTAATTTATATCCTTAATCTTCCTTGACACAATGCATAGCAATTGCTTTTTCCCTTTTCTGCTGTATGCAAAGCAAATATATGATACTCTTCTTCGTGACACGAAATATTTATTTAATAGTGTGTTATCATGATCCAGATTGAGACTACTAACTAATTTCACAGATGAAAAAGTGGAAAATTACTTTGCATTGCTTTAGCCATCTCCTTCATAAAATACTGAATGTAAAGAAAACACCTCTTGCATGACATTAGGTTATAAATATTTTAAAGCTTATCTGAAGAAGCATAGTGCTATCTTTAAACCTTACTATGTTTCTTTTAAAAGATGGATGACATTATATTCCTGAACACTGAAGCAGCCTGAAAATAGGCAAATAAATTGTTAATAATTTATTATATTGAGGGAAATAAATGAAAGTTTATATGCCAAAACATATAAAAGATTGTCTATTGATTATCAGAAAGAAACAGCCTGTAATGAAGATTTTCTCGAGTATGAAAGCTCTTTCTCACAATGGCATCACATTACAGGTGTGATAGGAATATTCTTACAACTTCTTCATCTTAAGAGTGCTATGAAATATACTTTATAAAATATTAGTCTTGGGTTCTAAAGTAGAAAAGCAAAGTGCTTTGCAAATTACGAGCTTTTTCAGGATGTATTTTTATTTCAATCTTTCCTCACTTCTGTGTAAGGCTTGCTAATTTGGGTTCTTATAGTTCCCCTTACCATAAAAGGTATTAATGACATCATTACTAATATCTAGCCATGAATACAACATCATCTTAAAAAGTAATGAAAAATGGTTGATGGTGTAGTTACTCTTCAAATTAATAATTCTTTTCAGTCTTTTACAGGTTTCTTGAGGGTTCATTGTTTTCTGTCCTTTTCAACCACRTCTAGCTGTTAAGTTTGCAGTAATTACTATGCAGTAACAAATTTGTACTCCAGTGCTGGAGATCTAGGAGATCTGACTTTGCAAAGAGGAATTTTTTATTATATCATACTTTCTGATCAATCGGGGGACAAAGGCATTTGGACCCTGAGTCAAAGTCCAGTTAAACATTTCAGTAATTTTTCAAGTATACAGCCATATAATGTGGGCAGCTAGAGGCCGAGCTGACAACTGAAGTGTCAGTTTAACAGCTGCTTCATTTCACTATCTCTCGGGTCATAAACTTTATTTTTAATGAGCCTGCCTGTAAGACCACTAAAAAATGACCTTCACACAGAGAACTACAAGGACCTAGAGTGGTGACCAAAATAGCTTTCTTGGGCARTGCATAATATCACAGTGACCATAGCACAGAAAATAAGCAGTATGTTGAAAAAGACATTATACTAACTACTGATGAGAATATTGTGTATTTTCATGCAGAAAGATTGTTGTGATTGTTGTGCAATAAAGCAATAATTCACTACCCTCAATTTATACTAATATGAACATCTTCAGTGGATGTAATAATATTGCACCAGTTTACCTCAATTAAGAGTGAATGGCCTCTGATTTTAAAGTTGTGTCTGGTATTTGTAAGCTCTCTTACAAGAAGAAAATACATTATGTAATAAACAGATAATAAGAAGTTGATAATTTTTCCCTGCACATTGCTTGCTCATCTTAGTCAAAAATTTCCTCGAATTAACTCTAATATTCATTGACTTTTCTTACCTAAACACATTGCAACCTTCTGTTTTCTWATGGGGTTTCTGAGAGTATGCTGCTCGTCTAACTCCAGGCAGTGTGGGCCTGGAGAGATCGCTAAGGATCAGGGAAAGGAATGTTCAGGTTAGAGCTTGAGAGGACAAAAACAAAAGGTGCTCTTGAAGCTGAGTGCTGTGGCCCAAGGGAGAAAGAGTACTTGGGCTGGGAAACTGAGCTTTCTGGATATGTCATTTTAAAAAAAAAAAAAAAAAAAGAAAAAAAGAAAAAAGTTTCAAACTGAGCTGTGGTCTTAATAGCCAGTAATTCTGAGATACTTTGAACTTGCATCACAACCCTGGCTGCTTTTGAAGCAGGTATAATAACTTAGTCCTGTGACATGATGGACCCTTGATAGACCTTTTTTATCACTGCATCCAAAAAGCAACCAGAATGTCTTCCTGGAAGCACTAAAGGCCACACTACAGCTTCCACTTTTGCCGTTAGAGATCTTCAAAATATTTTATTAAAAATAGAGCAATACTTGTTCAATRGTGTAAAAATGAGTCAAAATTAGGATAATTTAATTTTATTATTTGCATTCCAAAAGCAGCTGAGACCAAGAGTTCTGTGGGCTTTTTATGTCCCAAAACCATCAACAACTTGGCCTCTGCCATCTTTAAAATGTGAGTTTAAAGTCTCACAGGAATATGAAAAAAACAAATGGGAAATGARCATACAGATGAAGCAAGAGAATGCAAAATAAGGCACTACAAAATAACTTGCTAAATAGTTCAACAGCCTTCCTACCAGTGTTTATAAAAGCATTACAGCACAGTAGAGCTTTTATGAGCACTCATCAATTGCTGTTATTATTCATATTAAAATAACATCCATTTTTCCTCCCTTAAACTCTTTATATTGTGTGATGCCTTTCCCACAGCACATCCTAAGGCATCTGTTAGATTTGGAAGCTGAGTTTTCCTGTCTTTTATGTTATTTGTCTTTTGGGCTTGACTACAGGTACAGTGAATATTAATCCTCAAAATCTGAAAATATGTTCTGGTGGAAGAAACAGGTGGATGAGCTACGGCAGGAGTTCTGTTCTTTAGTGTTACTGTGCTGGCTGATGCTCTTTTCACTTGCTGCTGAGACAGTGTGTGAGTAGATGAGGCAAATGGCACAATTTCACAAGAAAATTTTCACAGGAAAAGACACAAATGAAGTTCATGTTTGCTTTCRCTTGTTCCCAAGAAAGTAGCTCATAATGTTTTGTGTACAATATCAGATTCCTGAATTTACTGAAATTAACTTCCTTCCATTCTTGCACCTTTTTCTATGCTATTATTTTCTTACACAATTATGTTAAAAATATCCTTCTAAAGGGAATAAAAACTACACAAAATTATTTCTGCAAGCAGAAATTATTTATTGCCTGATTATGTATTGCAATATTCTGAAGACTAAAGGAAGTATTTCTCCTGAAATATTTGTTAAAAAAATGCAACCAATCAACCAACAAAACCARTTAATGGTCTTAGTTCTCATTGATGTTTTTTCTAAATAGTAAGAATACCATTATGCTTGTATGTCTGTACTCATGGTATAGAATAGATTCGCTCCCTGTCCATGATGCAGGAGTTAGTTATTCTCCCAAGTCTTCAGTATTTCTAGGATTTTGTCAAGTCAATTGTGGTTCATAACAATCCCCAGCTGCTCTTAAAGATGACTTAAGGTCATGGAGGAAACCTGAAGCAGCCACTTTGCCCCAGTCRTATTACATATATCTAGTTTATCTGAAAACTGTTTGAGAATGTAACCAAAATATGAATGAACAGCATGAAAAAAAAATCCAAAAAAAAAACCAAACAGCCACTCTGCATAGAAGTCCTATGTCAGAGGATTATTGCATTTTTTTTATATTGCTTTCATGAGAGTTATTTTCAACCCTTTCAAACACTGTGCTATACTATGCTATGTAGTGTATCCTAATATATTATTTTATCTAATGAAGGTCAGATATTGAGAGAAAGTGTCTGGGGAAAAGTGTCTGGAACTGGCAAAAAGTATCTTTACGCTCTTTCTTCCACAACACTGCTCTATTGTCACAGAACCATCAAGGATGGAGACTTTCACTATCATCTAGTTCAACTGTATGTTACATTAGTAATTTTTCCCCTCGATATGTAAGTAATTAGATTGAGGTAAAAAGCAACTGAAGTCACATTTTTGAAGACTGGGACATGATTTCTGTTGTCAGTTGCATAGTATTTTTAGCCCTCCTGCTTGGAGTGAGGTCTGTCTTGGGTAATTCTCCCTTATCTAAAACCCTTCCAACTGAGGATATTCTATGATCCTATGAAAATTTAGTTTTCAATTTTTAAGAACTTGATTTTATGCATAAATTCATATGTATATTTTAAAGTAAGTAGTTTAACCCATATGCTCTTTTTTGTCTGGCCTTGTCCTATCTTTGTCATACACTCTGCATCTTCCTGGGATGTGGAGTCAACTTTGAGAATTAATCAGATCCARAAGTTCAGCTTCTTGTCAGGAGGGTACTTTGAACATATTTGTTTTGGATCACTAGCCCTGAACAGATCTGCTGGGAGAGCTACTGCTAAAGTATGCTCTTTTGGCAGATAGACAGCAGCTATTCATAATTTAATTTGCATTTCTTGGAAAAAAACAAACAGGGTTGTTCCAAGTTAACACCTTTGTGTTAGTGCTACCAAAGAGAGAACCGTAATCAGTTTCCAACTAAACTCTCTTGCATTGATTAGACAAGCTGGGCTGGCAGAGATGAAGGGTCTACTTTTCTACAGTAAATTAGATTGCAACAAGTACTGCCTTAGCATTTATTCCTTTCAGAGCTCTTAGTTCTTAAATGAGTGGCACTGATGGTTGTATGGATGTTCCTCTGATGGCCAGTTCCTTGTTGCATCGTGACAACAGATTACAGCTACAGTCCAGCCCGTGGAGTTCCACAAAGCAAATCTGTGAAACAAAAAATTCAGACACTTTCAGTATAAAATTGATGATTCTCTGATAAAAATTGCATTTCTGTCATTCAGATGGACTTSTATTTTGTCTTATCTTTAACAGGATAAACTCTTTCTTACTAGTTTTAATATTTAATATTTTGGCTGTGTTTAGAATTTATCATAYATTTTTCTCAGTAAAGTAGGTTCTGATATTTTTTTTTTTTTCTTTTGGTACAGATTAAAGAGCATCTTGCCAAGGGTCAAAGGATGTTGGCTGGTGATGGCATGTCCCAAGTAACCAAGACACTATTGGATTTAACGCAGAGGAAAAATTTTTATGCTGGGGACCTTCTAATTTCTGTGGAAATTCTCAGAAATGTTACAGACACATTTAAAAGAGCAAGTTATATCCCTGCGTCTGATGGTGTGCAGGTAAGAGCAACATTGTGAAAGTAATGTTTTAACTGATGGACTTTGTGTCAGAATTCTGCAGTATACTGCGTGTCAGCTGTTTTAACCAATGAGGAAACTAAAGTCTCCTGCATAATAGGCATAAGCATTCTTCACATAAAAACAAGATCCAAGTGTAAAATAGGAAAAGGACTCAGCTATGTTTAATAAGGCAAATATCCAAACCAACACAGCAGGTAAAAAATGTAAAATACTTTCTTTGTAACATTTCAGTATGTTTGTCTTTSAAGATTCAGTCTGATTGGTGGGAGGTGTTGGTATTTTTTGGCACTAAACATTTCATTAGTGTTCTTTGTTGCAGTGCATTTCAGTTCAAAACTAGCTCATTTCAGTTCAAAATCTATCCACAATGCTATGTTATTCTTCATCGTTTCTTCATTTCAGATAAATAAAGCTCATTAAAAGTTCACAGGTGTGTGTTTGATATAAATTTTCTATTTCACRTGTTAGATTAACTCCTCTTATGCGAAAGGACAAATAATATGCTGTCAGAACTAAAATCACTAAAATTCTTTCTTCGTAATGGGCTGCAGAACTCATTGCACAGTGGTGATTGAAATAAATTTTACTCAGGACTTCTAGATCGAGATATTGGTTTCATCTATATCTGAGAATTTTAGACACTTTTCAAAGACTGTAGATGACTGAAAAAGAATACTAAGAAGGTAGATATTTATGAAAAAGAGAGTTTAATGACCCTTCATAAATTACTAATGAAGTTATTAATGCAGGTCATGCATATRTATTTGTGTAAAGGTAAGCATAAATTATAAATACACTTTGGAATAGATGCATGCAGATGAAGGGAAATATCTTGGAAAAGACATTTTTTTTCACAGTTACATTTTCAAGACTTGCTATTATATTTTCACTTTTCTAGTTTTTCCRTGCACAAAGAACAATCAATTTCCACAATGAAATTAAGATTTCTTGGGTTGGCCTGTAGCTAGCTGAAAGTAATATTTTTTTTTAAATAGTGCTTTTGAAAAAGCAAGCTGAACAATMTTTCTCTTTTTTATCCAATGTGAGTCAGTATCTTTTCCTACTGTCATGAAGTTTTACTATTAAGCAGGAAGTTGTTCACTGAAAACTTTTCATGCAATCAGCAATCTGATAGCCCAGTGTGACTTCTTCATATTTCACATGCACTACAAAGTCTTGATTAGAACCAGTCTTGAGAAAGTGCTTGATTCAAATGATTTTGTTCATAGGCCGAGCAGATCAGGTAATTTTCAGTTTACATCCATTAGATAGAATTTGATTCTTTTCCCACTGATGCCAGTGCCAAAAGTTCTGTTTAATTCTGCACTGTACAGCTGTTTCCAAAATTCGTAATAGTACTCTGGCAGAACTTGACAAAATCATTAAATATTATTTTAATAATTTAAAAACTGAGAAATTAAAAATGTGAAAATTGGTAAGCCATATTCTGAAGAAAATAAGGAAGGATTTTTCAAACCAAAGAAAAAACTATATTTCAGTATTTGCAAGCCTAAATACAAAGAGTTCTTAAATCCCACTTAAAAAACACACTCTAACTGCAATTCAGAAAGYAACCAAGAAAATTAACAAATTGCAAGCCAAGGTTAAATAAAAATAAAACAAAACAAAAACCAAAAACAATGCACAGTATTCAGGAAAGTAAGTAAAATCTGCTTTTCCCAGGGGATATATTAAGCCAGGTTCCTTTTACTGACTTCTGATGATACAAAATGAAATCCTGGCTCAGTAACACAAGTTTAAAATTTGCTGCCAGTTCCAGAGAAACATGAATTTTCCCATATGTCATATTCTWCCATACTCTGGAGTATTGTATTTATTTTTTTTTATTTTCACTATCACATATTTTCATACTTCCTAATTCATCATCAAAGTATGTGACAAAAAAAGTAAAACTTAAAATTGCATGAAAATTCTTATTTATGAAGAACCTCTGTGTGGTGTTCTGATTACATTCTATTTTTTTTACTAGATAAAGAGTAGGATTTTGTAGTTGATGGATTTTGGTGTTAAAGAAATTATCAGAAAACCATGAGTGAGGATTAAAACCCYTAAAGTCATAATTCATTATTTTGTGTGATATTGGAAAAGTAGATTATGAAGAATTAYGGGCAACAGTATTTTTTTAAGATCCATACAAAAGCAACACTTGAATTATGACTGAGAAGAAAAAGTGTATGTGTCTCAATATATTTGTTTCTTATACATTCCACTCATCTGGGTAGTCCTTCAAATGCCTATAATTCCTGGTTTATATCCAGTATTAATATTCATGAATAGTGCAAAAGCTGTGATTCAGAGACTCCATAAMAAAATGAATGAACAGAAAAGTGAGATCAAATTTGAAATTTTCCAGCTAATTGTCCAMAATGAAGGTGCTGCTGCCTGATATGCTGCATAGAAAATGCCACTTGTTTAGGCAGACAATACCAAGAGCAAAATAACACTTTTAAGGTAGCGTTATCTAGTGCCAAGTTATTTATTACATGACACATTTTACTTTTGCATCTTTTAATCTTTTTTTGCGACAATATTTATGTATACTTGCACATACAATGTCATGAACAAAAATAACCATGTATGACGCAGTTAAAGAAGGTGTCCTGCATCAGTGACTGAAAATATCACTACAGTAGCCAAAATAATTACAAGACAAAAGTCATTGAATTCTTCTGCAAGGTCTCTCATTTAATATGGGATTTCTTTAAAATACCCTCTGTAGGTACACTGAGTCTATAACATAGACGTACTTATGTGAGAATGATTCTACCAGAAATATAATACAAATTTTAAATAAATAAAATGTAAACAACATTCTGGAACTTTATCCAGAACTGGTTTAAAGGGGCTTGAACTACCTTCTAAGGACAGGATGGCAGGGAAGGAGCTGCATTTCGGTACAGAATGACAAAGTGAGTTGTACAATCTCCTGATGCAGCAGCCAACAGGAAAAAAAGGTTTCTCCCCAAAGAAGTTCAAGCAATATAATCCCTTTTATATTAGCCACAGGGACCATTGCTGTCAGTCAGGGTTTAACGGGATTGTCCAGTCCTTTTTCCCTCCACCTTCCCCCTCCCACACACACATTCCCTATGCTGAAGTCCAAAAGTGGAGGTGACTTTAGGCTATCCATTAATTCCTCCTAGGGAGGAATTCTTCTCTGGCTGTATAAAAGGATTTATGACAGCTTTATGCCTGCAGAGAGGGTCAAAAAATTTGGACTGGAACAGAGAACTGCAGCCATTGTATTACAGAAGAAAAAAATTTAAAGGAAGKAAATTAAATTAGGAAAACGTAATTGTCCATTCTCAACTGTAACTGGCATGTTCATCAAAAAAGCCTGGGCAAAAATAAAGGATTTAAAAACTTGGTTCTGGCTGTCCCGATATTTTCTACAGTGGCCAGTTCAGTAATATGTAAACCCTGCAATGAAAGAAAGAAGCTTGATTCTGCAGGGAAGTCCAGTGTTTACTGCAGTAATACCCTCAGATCACATTCATAATGCTTCTAAAATTTTGCCTTCACACCTGTCAATCATTTCACTAAAGGACAATGTTTCTTTCAGGATTAATAAACAAGAGGGTAGTCAAAGTAGGACAAAGAATTTTTAACCCTTCTTCTCCTGTCACATTTTTGAACTGCATCTCATATCTAAATTATTGAAGCAGCAAATCCATCTGATGATCTGGTGTTGCTTTGAAAAATTGCTTTGACTTAAAAACCTACACACATCTCACCTTCCACTGCTACCATAAGTATGGCACCAACAACGGATAAAAAAATCTCAAGAAGAAAGATCTTCTTGTTGCTTAGTTCATATACATAATATGTACTTTTTTGGCAAGTGCAAAAATATATATTAGATATTTTATTGCTCATCTTTTGTTTGTGCTTGAATCTAGGATTATTTGTAAGCTTTTTCACATGTATTTTTGTCAATTATTGATAATTTTAATGCTYTTTGTAACTAAAATAAATGTAAAATTTAACTAACACATAACATTATCAGCAAACCCATGTAATATATCATCAGCAAGAAAGATTTTAAACTCCTGAGTTTTTCATGCAATCTAGGCTACTCTCAGATAGATCTCATTATACAGACATGGATACTTTTGCAATTAAGGCTTAGACTGCAGGGCAATCAGTGTCTGCAAAACTACCTTGAAAACAGCTCTGTAGCATGATAAATTATCCACATTGAGTTCCATGCTACTGCAGCTAGACTGCTACTGATGCCCTAATAAATTAAAGTTCAAATTCTGKTCATTGTATTTCTACACTATTTCACTGTAAGAGTGGAGAACTACCATGTTTAGAAAAGTGTTTTCCTCAGGCAAAAATCCTCATAAGGCCAACTCTACCTAGAAGTCTTTACCAAAATTACAATGCCCTRCAGAAAATGTGATTATACCCCCATGAAACTGCTTTGGCCAGTATAGTTTATTTTACTTGGGGGACCAGTGGAGATGTAAATTTTTGCAGCTGAAGTTGCATTTACACAATTGTGATTTGCCAGCCTGGTTAAAGTGGCAAATCCTTCATAACAAATACCAAACGTAACTCATTACATTGTRTTTTATTTTTGTACCTGGTATTTTATGGTGTTTTTATACCATGTTATTATGCCTGAAAAGAGATTAAAAGTATTCTRGGTATATAAGCAGTATGTAGCTATATCTACTCCTCTCCAATTTGACTAAAGTCTTCTTCAGTATCACTGCAAATTGGATCAAACCATGGGAACATTTTTCTTTTATGTCCTAYCATGAATTCCCATCTTGTCCAAATGCTTGCTTATAATTTTCACAGGAGCTTGCTGAGCCTTTTGTTTCTTTCCATTAAGTTTGTTGTGTTACTGAAGGTTATGGATATGTTACTGCTGACTTCAGTTAGAGAAGAGTTGTAACCTCATTAATGTAATGTAATTGTTACAGTTACATTAATGTAAGTGTAATGTAAAAAAAAAGATTATTTTGTCTAAGTTCAGCAAAGTGTCAGTCACCTCTAGAAAAAATTTGGTCAAGTTAAAGAAATTTTTATCCATGAGAGTTTTATAGTTAGCATAATTAACTTCCAAGTGATTAGGCAAAGATAGATCCTCTTGCTTGTCAAGTGCTTAGTGTTGGGACTAGGTTAGATTGGTAAAATGTTACTACGTAAAAAGCTAGTTTTCACAAATTTTCCTCAGTTTTGCATCTTAAATTTTTTTACTTATATGGTTGTGAAACATGTAAAGTGTGTGATAGCTCAATTTTGAAATTAATGTCTTTTCAAGCATATCCACCATACACTATGGCTGGAAGTTTTTCTGTTCTAATTTCAGTTGCTGTGCAGTCAAATCCTTTGTACTTTCATTGATAGTAAGTTAAAGTTGCTTACTTAAATGTTATTTAACTCCTGCTTATACTCCAAAGTAAGTGCAGGAGAGGTAATGGCCATTAGTCTGARTTCCAGCAGGGTCACATGGTTGCTATTCCAGTTAAAGATTTTTAGAGGTTGTAGGGAACTTAATGGCACACTTCARCTAAGGCTACTGGAAAAGATATGTATCTTTTATGAAGGAACAGATAAATTATAATTGACAGGCTGTAGACAAAATTGACATTCTGYACAAAATGTGATACAGAGATGAGAACAGACTGCACAAATTCTTAGCTTTTAAGGATGAAGAAGTTGGGAATACAAATTTCTAGATAGAGCAAAMAAAATTAGAAAGGAAATTTCTCCACAACCATTTGGAGAAAAGGGATTTTTAAAATGTATGGTTTGTACGTAACTGTCCTGCCTTTTTTTTTCCTTACATTTAAATGAATAGGAGAATCAGAAAAAGAAATTAACAGCTTAAGGTTAAAGAAAGAAACAGAAATTGCTTATTCCTTTTATGTTGGAATTTCTAAAAGGATAGAGGCAAGTGTGACATATAAAAGTAAGAAGCATCTGATTAGAAACAGTATTCACCAATGAAATACCATTGAATGCCCTATGTATGGCTATTAAGGATCATTTTCACATTTTGAATAGAAACTAAAGACCCTGACACTGGTGTTTTCTTAAATGTACTTTGGTTTTTCGCAAAATATGTAGTTGTCTAGTTTCTGGAATGAGRGTAATTTTCTAATAGAACACCATCATGCTTAGTAGCAATTTTAAAAGGGTTCTTGTTTCATACAAAGTGATACTATGGAACCTTATTATAGAGCCAAAATTTAAAAATTTAGCCTAAAATATGTGTCCTCTTATCAGTCAAATGTATTATTGTGCTACATCATCTCTTCCACTGGCAGAAAACAGTCTGCATAACTGCATCTGTAACAGAGAAAGGAAACCTTTATTAATATTGGATAAAGGATGTGGTAGTTTATATATTTGAAATAATTTTACTTAGTCTTTTATTTAATTGATTTTTCAGAACTTCTTTCAAATCATTAGTAATCTCTTAGATGAAGAAAACAAAGAGAAATGGGAAGATGCACAACAGGTAAGATTTGACTAAGTTTAATATGTGGTTTCAAAAATCTGGTTAAAGATGCATCCTTCTGTAGTTGAAAGGAAATCTTGAGTGAGAGAATATTCTGGGAAAAAAATTATCCTTTTCAAAAAGGAGCAATTTCAGGACCCACTGACTAATTACTTATATTGAAATTATATTTAGAATATAAGTCGCTTCYCTTCATAAACAGATTTTTATTAACATTCTGTAAAATTATTCACAATGTCTGCTCTGGACATTGTAATGAAGAACGTTCAAAAACTGAAAAATGCTACTAAGGTTGAGCTGCAGTGCTGCATTTTTAAGCACAATATATCAGAACTCACCCAGAAACCTCATACACCACCACCAAACAACTTACAGAAATGCAAACAGTAGGCCTTTTATAGAAGGTTGTATTTAGAAGAGCAGTTGTGATTCTCAGGACTGATAAATTTCTGGACTAAGCTGGATATGATGATAGCACTTTGTAAAATAGGGAAGTCTAGCAAAAATCATTAATGTATGATAAAAGAGTTAAACATTCAAATAACGCCTTGTGGGGTTTTTTTTGTTGGTTTTTTTTTTTCTTTTTTTTTGCTTGGATATGAGAATTTCTGACATGCTTAAACCAAGAAAATACTGGACGATGTTAATATTTATGTTCATGAACATGACCACAATAGCATCAAATTTATTCAGATACAAATAACCATCACAATGGGGATGAGCATAATCATGTAAAGAGGAAAAATTGTGGAAGTGGACAAAGTCAGAGGAATATTTCTGTATGAAGAATAAGTAAACAAAGCAAGACATTTCAGTATGGAAAGAGTCAAGTGCACTTACTTGCAATAGAAGCTTTTAAAATCAGGAGTGGTTTGGAGAATGTGATGTTTAATCTACACACGTGGTTCTTGTAAAATAGCTAAAGGACATCAAATAGTGGCAGAATGAGAATGAATACAGGAGATAGTTTTTTTCTAGAAGGCTAGCTTGCTGCTGAAAGGACACAAGTTAAAAAGGTAAATAGGCAAATTTATAAAAGAAAAACCTCAGTTTCATTGAAAGTTCTTTGGCAGAAAACTGCTAAAGRCTGGGCAAGACTTTCAAAGCAAGTATCACTCTGTTCCTGCCCCTTTGTACTCTTCCTTAGACGCTGGCTTTCTGCCCCTGTCAAAGGCAAGAAAACAGCTTACGTGGATCTTTGGTCTACTCTTGTACGGTCATTGTGACTGTGTTATACWGACACTTGAAATTTGTTCCCTTTTTGTGTGGTTCTTAATAAATCACAAGGTGTTTAAAGATCTTTGAAGCTATTTACCATTGGTTCTGTAATTCTATGTTTATTATATCACTAAGAAATGAGAGATGAGGACTTTTCACTACTAATTCAAACCTTGCAATGGACACATGATGCTGCAGCTGACCCAATGCAATTCAGCCAGGAATTGTRKTTTTTTTCTTTTGCTTTTTTTCTGTTCCTCTGTACAAGTTCCTCTGTACAAAAATAGASAAAATGTGTCATTTTCTTTAGTGGTAGTAGGTGAAAGCAGCAAAATCACATGCATGTGGGCAGTTTCCCTACACAGCACCAAGATAACAAAACCAATATTAAGGAATTATTTTAGCCCCACTAATAAACAGACACAATACCACTCCTATATTATCAACCTTTTTTTCTACCTCCACCTTGCCTGCTTACCCTTACCATGTCTGACATCTGACCACATAAGGCAGTACCTAAGAGGAAATTCTGAGAATGTGGAGATAAAGAGGGAGCAGTAATTCTCCAGTTCCCTCTTTACTTTGCTGCTGGTAGAAGGAGTGGGGTTGAAAAACAAAGAGGGAACAAGTTATTTCAACTTTTCCATTGCTCCTTCTGTTGCCTGGTAATTCATTGTTTCACAGGCCTACCTAGTGAGGCAGGAACCCCAAAAACCACCAAGATGAACAGAACACAGGAGCAGTCGGGCCATAKGTTCCTTGTGACAAAGCTAGGGAATTCAATAAATCTTAGACTTCTGAGATATGATCCCCCACAAAAACCAATGCCACTGGTCTTATTACTATTCTTCTGCAATTACTTAAGCAGTCTCAAAGAAACTTTGGAAGCAAGTAGCTCTTTATACYAGCCAGGAAGGGTGAGCAGGCACTGATGACTAAAGCTGATCCTGTTTCTTGATCAGCCACTCAGCTGAATTTTCTGTAACAAAACATTGCAATCCTATGTGCAGTCTAACCAACCTTTTTGCCAGCTTGCATAGTTTTCTTAAACTCCACAACTACTGTTATCATAGCTCTCCTAGTCTGTTTTCTAGATTCCTTGCTGGAATGAAAATGTTACTCACTGTCAGCAAATTGCTGATTTTCAATCAAGTATACAGCTGCAATGCCTCAGCATATCCATTTTCTAGCTTAAATGCCAACAGTTGATAACCATTAATTACAGGTTATATAGCATTCGGATAAGCAGCACTCACTTTAATACTTGCCTTTTTTTAAGRGCTGATGTGAAGCACTGCACACAGGAAGCCATTTCAATCCACAATGCCTAAGTTTATACTTGTGTTTCAAAACACAGGAGCTATTCTGCATATTCTCCATCATGATCTGCTAGTATCTTGTTGATTAACCAGTACTTCAGATAGATAAAAACAGAGTACCTGCTCAATTGACTGCTCAACAGTTTATTACTATAAAATTTTATATGCAAGAACTAGGGTTTAAAAGATCTTCTCACTGAAATTTTTCCTTAGTACATAATCTGTATATTGTGTATTTCTTTTTAATGAGATGGATGCAAAAACCACATTTACTCTCTCAGTRATTTATCATTAGGRGAATAGACATTGTCTCCTTCACCTGAAGCAAYATTTGCACCCTGTTAGGATCATATTTGTCACAACAAATTCTTCTTCAAAATAGTCTCGCTGCCCTACCTTTTATAAAAAGATCTGTGTAGAAAATAAARCATCTTGTGAAATTCTCTATCCTGAACCAAGCACCTATGGATGTAGATAGATAAAGCAAGATGAAGTGCAGCATGCTGGAATTTATAGTTTCTGTAGGATTTTTTTTTAGAGTCTGCAGTCCCAGTAGTGGGAAGTATGGGTGGAATACTGCTTATGAAGTAAAATTTGGACTTTTCACTGATATGAAGAAAAAAGCACCATGAACAGGTCATSCATTATTTTTCTATTGTGAGATACTCTGTTGCTGAAAATTGTCCTGTTTGTAACAGGCAATACAAACCAAAAAATATTTGTTTATGTGATATGAACAGAACTTTTAGTCTTAGTAATAACTGTTATGATCTTTAATGTTGTTTTGTTGATTAATCATTATTGTTAAATATTAAAAAAATCAATGTTTTTATTGGTAGCTTACAGCTTTGCAAATAAATTACATTTCTTGGAAATGTGTTTGTTCTTATAATTTTGAAAGCCAAATCGAGAAGCCACATTAGCAATACTGAGTCTACTGCAATTGATTTTTGTTTACTGTGTCCAGTTCTGGGCATCCCAGTGCAAGACAAAAAATAATGGAATGAACCCAGAAAAATACCATGAAGATGTTTAGAGGATTAGAGCATCTGATGTGCAAGGATAGGCTGAAATAGATGACAGTATTTTGCTTGGAAAAGTGAGGATCCTGGCAGTATTAAAATTTCCTGAAGGGAAGGAGGAGTARAGAAGACTGAGCAGTCTCAGTGGTGTCCAGTGGTAGAATAAGAAACAAGGGGTAGAAATAAAAATGCAGAAAATGCCATTTATATATAAGAAAAACTGGCTGTGAGAGTGGTTGAATGCTAGGACGTATTACACAGACAAGTTCTGGGGATCATCTTCCTGGGAGGCATTCAAACTCCATTTGGATGTGTAACTGGGCATCTTGCTAGAGCTGATCTTGCTTTATGCAGAGGGTTGAACTAGATGATCTCACTGGCTTCTTCCAACCTCAGATATTCTATGATTCTACTACTCCATATCCACAATGAAAATATATACCAATAAAATTTTAAATTCATTACATATTTATTAATGCAACAAAGATTATCCTGATTGTGAGGCCACTGTAAGATTTGCATTCAGCTGTTTGTATCAATAGTTCTGAAGTTACTGAAGAGATTTTACAGAGCAAAGAAAAATACTTTACTTAGAGTTATTCTCAAATATGAAATGCTTTAACCATTAATGAAAGTAATGGCCAGTAAGTTTAAGTGACTTSGAGGAAACATTTTCCACAGTTCCAGTGCAAAGTTAATTTCACAGAACTTAATGAGAAGTAGTGTCTGTTTATGAGAGGATTTAATAGCAAAATTATTATTTTACAGTAAAAGAAAGTGTTCAACATTGAAATATGAGAAGAACAGTTTGGCTGTTACATCTTATTTTGAAGGCACTTGGATTTCATTTATATTTGTTGCAGTAGACATTTTGATATTATAGTTAATGCCATGTCTGACCTTCCTTTGTTAGATCTATCCAGGCTCAGTGGAGTTAATGCAGGTGATTGAAGATTTTATACACATTGTTGGAATGGGAATGATGGACTTTCAGAATTCATACCTAATGACTGGAAATGTAGGTAAGAAATAGAAATTTCTTCTATCAAATTTATGACCTGTTGAAAATCAGAAGTTGCAAGTATGTACTATAGAGTTGCTKCTTCTATCACAATCCAGATCGGGTTGCTCCTCCTCCTCCAGATTATCTGTTGCTTGGTTACCTCCTCTCTGGTTTAGCACATGCAGAATGGCTTATATATTGGATTTCTTCATAATCATATCTCAAGATCTAAATGCAAAGTTTTAGAATCAAAACTAATACTCACCAGAATACAATGAGCTGTAGGTACATATTAGAAAGTTTCCAGGATGTACAGGGTTTCAAATGTTAATGTATAAAATTGTATCAATTAATCTACTATACTTAATATATACTTAATAGCATGGGAAATTTTTATTTTGTTGACATTGTCTTTTAATATTCCATTCTACCAAAAAGCAGTCATTGCACATTTATGGTGTGGAAATAACAAAGATAAGCAATAGTTTAAAAATATAAATATTAGTTACCAAAATAATTAAAACCTAGAATTTCTTATGTTAGTTTTTCTAYGTGTAACAGTTTCAAAATTTTATTCAGATCTATTTTTCAAATTTTGTTTTTGCTCTTGGGGAAACGTCAGGTAATAACAAACATCAAATATAAAAATGCTTAGCAACTCAGTTACATTTATTAGTAGTCATAAATGTTCTGTAATATTGCAGCATTTTAAAAAAAAATCAACAAATTAAAAAATTAGTTTGAAAGGCTAATCACTAAGCATTTTGTCTTTGTTTAGTACCTTTGTTATCCAATTAACTTTCTATGGCTGCATGTTTRTAGTGGCAGGAAAGTTTTAGGAAGTTGTCTATAAGGAATAAATCCAAAATATGTGTTTGTATTATAGCAAAACTTCTGGTGTCAGTATATTTTTTTGAGATTTCAAGTTAGCATCTTACTCACATATAGGTCACTCAGTTCTTCAGCAAGTCATTAGAATTAGTTAGAAAATATGGTCATTTTGAAAGTAGGTGGCAGAATAAAGCAGGGAAAAYGTTGGATTGTCCCTATTGACTATTTAGCTGCTTTGCAGTAATAAATATTTATTCTTGTTATCCAGTTCATACTATGGAGTGACAGGACTGTGAACACTAGCCCCTCTAAGGCACAACCTTGTATTGGAGACATGTCAGAGGACTCAACAAAAAAAACTCTGACAGTCTTAAAATGTTTAAAACATTGCAGCAGGGTTTTAACCATTGATATTTTTTTTTTGGTATTATTGTTTGCACTGTAATACCACTTGAAACTTCTTCTAGTTGTCAGTCCTTCWTTATGCTAGACCCTGCACAAATTTATAAAGAAGAGTCTCTTTTCTGAAATGTTTGTTCCATGACATTTTAATGACAAAATAAAAAGATGAGCTCATTGAAAGAGCACRGTCCATGCCACTTGGCACACTGCAGCACGTTCTAATCTGTTTGTCCTCTAAAAAACACGGGAAAAAAAGCTAATGGCAAATGTTTTAAGAAGGTGCATTTAAATAATCTGTGTCTCTACATATTCATGGCGTCACATGGGAAACAGCAACAACTTTCCAATTGAATCAGAAACTGTGCTAGTTTAGATAACTCCAGAATCTTAACAGGCTTTCTTTTGATTATCTTCCTCTTCCCACATATAAGATATTTTTAGGCACTCAGGAGGTCTGTTCTTAACTATAAAACCATCAAAGGAATAGAAAGAAACTGAGAAATGAATGATGRAATCTGAAAATGAATTTATAAGTTTAATCTGACTGTCTAGCTCTGTGCCTTGATATATTGGCATGAGTTTATCCTCCCTATGCTCGGTCAGCCATCAAAAAAGGACAGGGTCGCTCCTGTGCAAATCATTGATCAGAATACTGCAGCTGAGGTGACATGCTGAAATGGGGACAGAAGGTCATTATCAACAAGGAGTAATTTCTTATTTTCACTAACAAGGAAGGAATGTATCTGGCATAATTCAGTTTTTGTGTGGTTGTCCTCAGGGCATTGGAATAACTGTCTGACTGCCCATGTACTTGGAATTTAAGGAACATTTATGTTGATCTCAACAGAGAAAAATAAACTATGCGGTTTTGACTTAACATTTTGACTTTGGTCTTAGCATAAATTATTCTGTAGCAACAAGAGTTTATAAATARCAACAATGTAGCAACAAATATTTATAAATCTTATCTATAACAACATTATTTTAAGTCAACAAACACATTTAATGCAGGAAGCAGATATTGTGCATAAACAAGACCCAGATTTTACGTATATTCATCTTTAAACAGAACAGTCCAATAGTTCATAGACTAGAATCAGAACGGTTTGGGTTAGAAGAGACGTTTTCAACTCACTCAGGTTGCTCCAAGTCCCATCCGGTCTGCCCCTGAATGTTTCCAGGGATGAGATGTCTTCTACTACTTCTCTGGGAAGCCTGTTTCAGTGTTTAACCACCCTTATTGTAAAAGACCTTCTTTTATCTAGTCTAAATTCACCGTCTTTAGGTTGAAACCATCACCCCTTGTCCTGTTGCAGCAGGCTAAAAAGTTTGTTCATCCTTCTTATCGGCCCCCTTCAGTAGTGAAAGGGTACAGTAAGGTTTACGTGAAGCCYTCTCTTCTCCAGGCTGAAGAAYCCCAACTCCCCATCTCTCTCAGTCGGTCTTCATAGCAACAGCRTTAGAGCTCCCTGCTCATTTTTCTGTCCCTCATCTGGACCCACTGAAAGAGATTCATGTCCTTTCTGTGCTGGGAACCCCATAGCTGGACACAGCACTCCAGTGGTGTCACACCAGAGTTGAGTAGAGGTGCAGGATCACCTCCCTTGCCCTGCTGGCCATGCTGCTTTTGATGCAGCTCATGATACAATTGACTTTCTGCAAGCATGCATTGCGTGCTCAGGTCCAGCTATTGATCCCCCAGTATTACCAATTCTTTCTCCTCAGGGCTGCTCTTGGTCAGTTCATCCCCCAGCCAGGGGTTGGGTTGCACCAACCAGGTGCAGTTTCCTTGCACTCGGAGTAGTTGAACCTCTTGAGGTTCCCATGGGCCCAGTTCTTGAGCTTGTTCAGTCCCTCTAGATGCCATCCCATCCTTCAGGTGTGTCACCCACACCACTTAGCTGGTGTCACCTACAGACTTCCTGAGGGTGCATTTGATCCCTTTGTTGTTGATGAAGATATTAAGCAGTACTTGTCCCAGCAGAACTCCTGAGGGACACTCCTTGTCATCRGTGTCCATCAGGATACTGAGCCATGAACTGCTACCCTCTAGAGGTGACCAACCAAATTCTCATCCACTAAAGAGTTCCCCTATCAAATCCTGTCTSTTCAATTTAGAGAGAAGGATGTTGTTGGGACCATGCCAAAGGTTTTAGAGAAGACCACAGGCCATCTGTAGCTCTTCCCTTGCCCACTTATKCAGTCACTCACTCCATCATGGAAGACCACTGGTTGGTTAGGCAGAACTTGGCCAAGATGAAGCTGTGTTGCTGTTTTTAATCRCCTCCCTGATTGCCTTAGAATAGATTCTGTGAGATTTCCAGGCACAGATGTGAGGCTGACAGGGGTCCTATTTAATCAATAGTTATTTATCATAAAATATTCTCTCAGCACTCTCACATACTTTAAACACCTTTTGCTGTACTTATAATTTTTGAATAATTTTAAAGTTCAGAAAAAATATTCTAAATATTAACTAAATATGAACTGTTGCTTCTTATCCGAGAAAAAAAAAAAATCCAATTTTATGGCAAATTTCACAGTAATACACAGTTCTCGGTTTCCTTCTACTAATTTCAGTTTACAAGGTCATTGCTAATTGAATGACATTTCTAATTGAATAGCAGTAGATATAAAATTTGAACACCTAATTGCATTTCACAGGCTAGTCCTCTGAGATCTTTCATTGATGGGTTTTTATTTTCTCTTTTTTTCAAGACATAGAAACAAGTAGCTGTGGCTTAAAAAGTTACTGCACAACAGCCATGCTGCAGTGACTTTCCAATTCACATTCTCATTCATGACAAATGGGAAGTAATGAAAGCTACATTAGCTATATGGGAGGCTATCATAAGCCACATTATAATACATTTGAAAATAGCTAAGAAGATCCGGACAGTTGTCATTCCCCTGTTAAACTTTTCATTGTGATGGCTTTTAAGGCAATTTCTTCATTTCTGCTGAACAAAATATCAAAGTATGGTTTCAAATCCAGATGACCCAATATCTGTACTTATTGGGTTATTGAGGCAGCTCAGTCAATTCAAATGCATTTCCATTAAAGCAAGGCCCGTCTCCTCTTAGCTTTCCTCTCAAGGATGGAGAATATACTATGAAGAACTTAACAAATGTGAAAACAACAATTTGCTTTGATCACACATGGTGGGGMCAGATGGTATTTGTTATAACATTGCACTCTGTATTATATTCTTTAAGAAATGATTAGGTGAAATAAAAGCCTCTGATAGGAGGTAGAAACCTCCTTCCTCATCCTGCTCTTTCTTCTTCTTCCTCCACCTCCTCCTCCTCCGGACCAGCTGAGCAGGCACAGGAAAATGATAGTGTGAACAAACAGAAGCTTTTGCTACCACTCAGAGTCCTTGAATTCACTGAAAGCACAGACCCACCTGCAAGGATATAACATGCAGTGGGGAAAAAAAGCTTCTAAACCCTGTTCCCATTCTCTGTTAACCAATTGCTTTCAGATTTGTCTGTTTTAAAAGATGAGTTCCTGATTTTAGATTAAAGAATTAATCTCGGATTTTATTAGTCTTTTGAATTTTTTTGAGCCCTAAAGACCTGAGCAGACCCATCTCAGTCCTTTGGCTGGTTTGGCGTCTCATCTCAGTAAACCATTAAGAGTTGTGGAARTATGTAATAAATATGGGTGAATTGCTATTAAGAAATGTTCTGCTTTTAAGGGAACATTTCAAGACTGAAAGATTGGAGTGCCACAGGCATAACTGTCTTTAAAGGTATAGGTGGAATGTGAAACTGGAAATAGGG